GGAAAAAAAAAAAAGAAAGATGGTGAATCACCAAAACTCTCCTTCCAGGGAAGGAAACCTCGCATCCAAGAGGAGACTTCACATCAGGGTTGAACTAGTGATCTCCAGAGGTCCCTTCCAGCCCATGACATTCTGTGACGTGACAGTGCAGAGGAAAACTGAGCCCAGCCGTGGTGCTCAGCGCTGCTCAACTCATTACACATCAGCAGTGGGGTTGGTTTGCTTCCTTTTTTGTTTTTCTTAAACCCAGGTCTGTGTTTATACAGGAAAATCAGAGCCATTCACCCACATGTCCACATGGATTCAAACACGACAGCTTGAGACGTCCCCGGTTCAGACATCCCACCTCCCGCCGCAGTAGCAAGCACGCTGTCGACATAGAGCAAATCGTGGGGCCAAGACCATAAAAAAAGACTGTAAAAATCTGCTTGAGCTGTGTTTCTACAGGGTTACTGCAAGAGAAACCCCCAAGCATGGCACAGGCTTGCTCCGTCATGACCAGGGAGAAGACAACACAAGTGCCTTTTCTAGTTTTCTGGAGAAGAGTTTTGGTAGACGGGTAACAAAACTGCTGAACTCATACGGCGCACGTTGACTTGGATGAGTCAGGCTTCTTGTATGTTAAACAAAGGTATTTTAGACTAATAAAAACAACTCTTCGGAATGTGTCGGTTCCAGTTAATGCATCTGGCAGCTCCTTTCAGTTCAAAAGCTGCAGCTTATTTTGTTATTACGGATAACAGGAACGCGAGTGATGCTTAATCAGACTTGATAAGCCTGTACGTGATTACCATGACAGACTCCATCGCTTCTGTCAAGACTCAGCCACGATGACAGAGGGGACAGGCGGGCAGGGCTGCTCCTCAGCACCACGCAGGGTTTCAAGCCTCCGATGCCCCAGCAAGGCACCTCTCCCACACCTGCTGCTCGAGCAACGGAGACAAAGCAGCCAGACAAGTGTTTTGTTTGCGCAAAAGTCCTCCCCAGCCCCTGCGAGAAGCTGTCCAGGGAGAGCAGAGGCTGTGTCCCGCGGGCCCAGCACACTCTCGGCACACACAGAAATGAGCTGGGGATGCTGGTGGGGGAGATCGAGAACAGCCAAGAAGAGCTCCAACATCTCGCTCCCGTGTTGCAACTGCCAGTTTTCTCCATTTCTTCATTTTCATGACTGGGCTATAAACCCTACCTGACTCAGATGGTTAGTAAAAACCCGAGGCGTTACAGCTCAAACTGGTTTAGGTTAGCAAATTCTAGCAGAAGTCACAGATTTGTTGGTTTTCGTTGTAGACTAATCTGCAGGAATGGAATAGTTAACACCACACTCCTACTAGCACAAAAGAAAAAGTTAACGCTCTGTCCAAATGCGGTGTTAAGATAAACCCAGGCAGATATAAATCATAGTCACAAAAAGGTTCCTGCTTTGGGTTTGCAAGAAATAGTCAAAAAAGAAAGGTTTTGTTTAATGTGCATGTTTGTAGCTGGTTACAAACTCTTCTGAAGAAAGAGCAGCTGGAAATACAGGGCATTACAGTCAAAGAGGATGATGTGGTTTAATTAGCTGATTTAAATGCTAGTGGAAAGTGAGAGGTTTAAAACTATTTGGAGTCAATCTGCCTTAAGCTGAGCACAGACACAAGCCTGCAGAAGCAAAGGTGGGAACTGCCAGAGGAGCTCTGCTCACCTCTGCCAGCACCGAAGCCCGACCAGGCTCCTGGCACAAACCCGTACGGGATTTCTCCCGGCAAAGTACACTGAGAGAGAAGGAGATTGGGAAGGAGGGAGGAAGGTCATCTGGCATCTCAACAACAGAACAAGATCTCACCACACTGACCACACCACCTCGTCTCCTATATTAAGGAGCTCTGCATGCTGGCAGGGCATTTCATCAAGGGCTTCCCTTGCTTCGACGCGGTGAAATCAGGTCAGCAAGCGATTCCGAGCCTCAGCTAAGCCAACGGCGACAACTCCAAATTCAAAATATCCCCTGTGCTTGTTTTAAGCCTCGATCTCCGAAGGAAGCGAGGGCTGCACTGGCCAGCTGACGCCCTCCTTCTAACCTGTGAGCCTGCCAGAAGTTTTCTGGCAGAGACTAGGGCTTCAATCACCTTCCAGAAAAGAAATTCTTTTGAGGGGTGAAACGAGGGCGGGAGATTTCCAGTGACCACAGCAGCCCAGCACCCCTGGAAGGGCTCAGCTCCATCAGTCGTGTGGTATCTCCCAGCAATGATGCTTCCAGCCTAGCTACAAACAGAGTCAGGTCGTGCCCTCCACATCACATAAGTTAGTTATTTAATGATACCATAGCGAGAGTAGTAAGTCAACATGTCAGTATTGGGTTTGCTTTCAGACCAAATCAAAGGAAGCAAAGAGGAGGAATCAATACAGACATATAAAGACCCCCAAATACTTGAGGCAGGCCAGCAAGCAGGCTGCAGTTCCCACCAAGAGCTTGTGCACCTGCAGTCTCACAGGTCGTGATAAGCAAAGGCAGATGATTTTTGCCTCGAAGTTGCTCCCTCCTCTCCTTGGAAAGGATTTGATGTGTGGTCTCAGTCTTCTGAGGAACAGGACAAGTGCCAAGGTAAGCCATGGGAAACTGAGCGAGGGTGAAGATCTGGTCTGTTTAAGAGGCTACTTCTACTCTCCGGCCCCAAAAGGGATCGACCACTCGGATTATGGGCCAGAAGAACCTAGAGAGATTTTAGAGACCCAGAGAGCTGTCAGAAAAACACCAATAGACCTGTCCAGAGAAAGAACAGCATGATAGAGACTGATCACGGGTCTGGTTGAACCATGTGTCTGGCTTGGCATGCTCTGGATGCTTCAGCGGTCAACAGAGATAGACCAGCCCAGCCAGGAAAAGGTCCACAAAACCAGTGAACCCAGTCCCAATTCTGACCAAGGTACACAGCATGCTTATTGCTGGCTCCATCCTGATTTTAGCCCAAAAAATCAGATGAACTGTTAACGCAATCGCCAGAGGGAGATCTTCACCAGGAAACTTGTTGCCATATCTCGACCCAATGGCAGCAGTTACCTGTGAGCAACTCAAACCACATTCACTTATTTAAAAACTACTTCTACAGAGAGGCAAAGATCTAGCCTTAAAAAAAAAAAGCATGGAAGCACTCAGACCAGAACTTTGAAAGCAAACGTTCAGGTTTGGGTTACCCCCAGCTCAGGCAGGCACTCCAGCAACGAGGTCATGGTGGGCAGAGAAGATCAGTGGTTTCACATGTACATCTTGGCGAGCTCTGGTTCCCAAACCCTCTGCCACAGGAATAGGGGGCTCAGCTCAGTCGAGGGGCAGGAAGACAGTCCTGCTGCTTTTGAGCTGTGCAGAGCTCTGCTACGGAGGGATGAAATGAGAACAGAGGCACCTCAGGCTCCTGACATCTATGCAGCAGGCCCCTCCTACAAAACCCATCTGTCCTATGCACTTCCTACCACCATCCCTGCCCAAACTAGGAAAATTTTCTCTCCTAAACTAAATATTACAGGAGACTAAGAGATTTGAGTACCTTACCCTCGTTTCTTCCCCTCCAGCAGAAATGAGAGCCTTCGCGGTCACATTTAAACACAGAGTGAGGTAAGACCAGGCAAAGAGGCAGGGTCCTCGCTCGACAAGCTGCAGCTTCAGCACCAGCTTCCGAAGGGCCACTTCGGACCCAGAGCCTTTGAGGACCATCTACAGAAGGAAGGAAAGCAGCCACCCCTTTGGTGTGCAATGACTGGAGTGAGTGACACAGCTTTTCACTAGCGCTGTTAACAGGTCATAAAGGTTCCCAAAACATTTATGTAGCTGTTTAATCAGCTTTGCATGATTAAGCACAGCATATGCAGACATCGTTCCCCACGCATCTGGTCATTCAGCTTGGACACAGGCACTGGAAAC